GAATCTCAAATATATTTTTCACCTGATTATAATAATGTTCTTTTTGCTAGTACATTAGATGGTTGGGCTTTTGGGTATACAAATGATGTTTATAGTTTTATCTAAATGCTTTCTTTTTATAAATAGAATTCATCATTTCGCAGATTTATATGCAAAAAAAATTATCAGTTAAACGAGAAATATTAATGAAAACATTATGGGGTGATTATTATTTTGATAAAAAAACTAAACGTGTTTGTAAAGGTGCACAAGTAAGATAATTATTTCTAATTGAATTAAATATTAAGAGTAAGTTTTAAGAGTAAAGGACAAAAACCAATGTTTGTTCAATTTATTTTTGAAAATCTTTGGAGTGTTTATGAAGCAATTATTATTCGACGGTTTGTATTTTGATTTTTTTTATCAAATAAAAATTTCATGTTTTTTAGTGATAATGGAAAACTTGAAAAAATTGCAGCATCAATTGGTGCTAAATTAACTCCACGAGATATTCAACATACTGATCCTTATGTTCCATTACATCTTATATTTAATCAATGGTTACCTATTGCTTCTGCTGTCTTTGGTTAGTTAATATTCAAGTAAAAATCTCATTTTTATTTTCGAATAGATATGGTTGTTGTTCAACTTCCAAATCCAAAAGCATTAAATATAGAAAAAATTGAACAATTAATGTGTAATAAAGGTCGTCGATTTGATACATTGTTATCAGAAACTCAACAATTAAAACAAGGTAAATTTTTCATTATACTTTATTAATATTTATTATAAATTTTTTTTGTTGAAAGCATTTATTAATTGTTCAAGTGATGATCAAGAACCAGTGATAATTTATGTTTCAAAATTATTTTATGTGAATAAGAATGCTCTATCACAAAACAGACATAAGTAAGAGGGAACTGTTTTCTTTAACAGATTCATGTTTTTTCCTGTATAGATCATTAACTGCTGAAGATATAGCACAAGAACGTGAACTTATTAAAGAAAAGGAAGCTGAAGAGACAACAACAAATGAAGAATTAACAAATGAAACTAAAAAACGATCAATCGACGACAGAAAAAGATGTTGGAGATCCAATAAAAACAGAATCGAATGAAAATATGAATGAAAATGTATTTCTTGCATTTGCACGTGTTTATAGTGGAAGATTAAAACGAGGACAAAAAATTTTTGTTTTAAGTCCATGTCATGATCCAACATTGTTCGTTGAAAAAGTAAGATTAATTATCTTACTTAAAATAATAAATTTCGTTTCTTAGAATCTTAATGAAGTTTCCGCTCATAGTATTTCTCATCATGTACATGAATTTATTGTTCAAGATCTCTATTTAATGATGGGTCGAGAATTTACTCTACTTGATCAAGTACCTGCTGGAAATATAGTTGGCATGTTTATTTATAATATTTAATTCAATACCTAATCGATGAAGATTTTCTTATAATTTAGCTATTGGTCAATTAGATTCTCTTGGTTTAAAATCAGCAACATTATCAACAAATATATTTTGTCCATCGTTTTCTGGTCTTCAATTTGAAGCTTCACCTATTGTTCGTGTAGCAATTAAATCAAAAGATTCATGTAAATCATTTTTTTCTTTATTCTTAAAAACATTGGACTTTGTTTTCCAGCTCAAATGGAACAACTTCGACATGGTGTGCATCTATTAAATCAAGCTGATCCATTTGTTGAATGTACATTAAAAGATACCAGTGAATATATTCTTTCAACAGCTGGTGAAGAACATTTACAACGATGTATCGACGATCTTACAAAAATGTATAAATTATTTTACCTTCAAAATAAATTCATTTTCATGTTTATATAGATATGCTCGTATTGAAATAAATGTATCAACACCAACTATTCCATTTCATGAAACAATTATTGCACCACCGAAAGTTGATTTTCTTAATGAATCATTAGCAAATCAACAACAACAATTCGAATCAAATAAAACAATTGAAGAAAGACTATCATGTTTATTAGGTAATTTTATATATTAATAAAAAATAAGATTTAAATTGTTTCGTTTAATTAGGGAATGGTTTAGTTGAATTAAGTACTCCAAATGGTCAATGTACATTTCAAATTCGAGCAGTAGAATTATCTGATGACATCGCTGTTTCACTTAAAATACATAGTAAATTACTTGCAGTCATTGAAGAAGCTCAAGGACGTGATGATAGAAAAGTAATTGTTCAATTAAATGATCAAACACTTGATCAAATTCGACAATTACGAGAACGATTAAATGCAAAAATTTATTGCTGCAAATGGAAATATATGGAATTCAAATACAGTTGATGAAATATGGTCATTTGGCCCAGATAAATGTGGATCTAATCTATTGATTAATCGTATTCCAAACAGTATTTATAAACAATATGGTTTATCTATTTGGAGTATTGCTTTAAATAATCAAACAAAAATGGATACAAACACAACATTCACAAAAGATGATTATGATTTAAGTATTATTAAAGGATTTCAATTAGCAACAGCTAATGGATTTCTATGTGCCGATCCAGTCGAGGGTGTTGCGTTTGTTATTGAAAGATCGACAATAAATAAAATTGTTAATAATGAAAATAATGATGAACAACAAGAAACATCAGGAATTAATAATACTGATTCTGCAACGATCACAACAACAATAAATCCTGTTGATGAAATCGAAAGTTTAATAGAAACAATGGGTATTACAACTGAAGAATCTTCGACATTATATATTCAACAAAAACCTCGTCTTGTTATAGATAAATCAAAAGTTGTTATCAAACATGAATCATTTTCTGATCAAATAATATCAACTATACGTGAAGCTTGTCGAATAGCTTATTACAATAGAGTCCCATTCGTGGAAATCGATGATCCAAATAATCCAAAAGTTGATTTTAACCGTTCCAAGATTCGTTATACAACAATCTTCACGAATGCATTATCAACTTGTAGAGGATTTCTTATAACGGGAAATATAGGTGAACAACCATTCGTTTACTTAGCTCATCGGTCCAAAACTTATGAACTCCCGTCATTCACACCATCATCAACATTAATAGAACTAATTGAAGATTTAACAGATGATATAGAAATGAAAATTTTTAATAATCCGCCACCAAATACTAAAGAAAAATTAACAATTTACGATTTAACAAGTCTAAATTTATTGGTTTGTGGCAGCGTGACGGCGGAAATCGATTTGATTAGCGATGCATTTCATCTTTTAAAGGATAAAAATACCAACATCCAAAATCTTCTGAAAGATCAACCTCAATGTTTATATTTCTGTCAACAATTAAAAAATTTGATTATCATACCACCTGTCATATTTTTGGTTAGTGGCGCCAATTCAGATAAACAAAGTTCCGATGATCCACGAGGTAAACAAAATCTATAAATTGATAAACATTATTTGTTTTTGTGTAATTATAGGAAATACAGGTGAATCTCTAAAGAACGAACCATCCGTATGTCTAAGCTATTCTTGTGATTCACAAGTAGTTCACATGCAGATAGAATGAGTAGGCACAACATCACAGTTTGATATTGCTCATCTCTCAATCGATTATAAAACAATCGAAGAAAATGATTTTAGCTGGAAATTGCAGATCGACAGTATTGATAAAGCACAAGAAGAGCTCAAGAATCCCAAGGACTTGGAAGATTTCAATGATGCTTTAAGTAAGTTTCAGTTATTTTTGCATTAAAATAATAGAATTTTCCGATGTTTTAGACTATGTTTTATCAGTTATTAATCCACCACCAATACCTCAACATCATGCAACT